GTCGCTGGCGCGGAACGAGGTGCCTTCGCTGCTCGCCGTGCCGCCCTCCACCGCGGCTGATGCTGATGAGGGACCTCGCGCCCCGCTCCCGCAGCCAGCGGGGAGGCGGGATTCGGACGTCCACGCAGCCGCGCTCCGGAGCGAGCGTCCTCCGGATCCCTGTCTCCTCCTGCCTCAAAACCCCACTGTCCACAATCCTTTCTCTCTTCTGCATCCTCCCCGCCCCAGCCTGCCAGCTGCGCATCCTGCTGCGGCCGCCCCTCCTCACTTGTCTCTGAGATGCGCCCTCAGTGTTCCCGGGAAGCCTCGCCTGGGCCGCACGGCGCACCCTCACAGCTGAGGTCAGACCTCCGCCACCCGCTCCTAAATCCCACAGCCTTCCTCTTGCTTGACCTGAGACACCCACTTCCCGACACCCCAGGGCCCTTCTCTGCCTCACTGGCCGCTTCTCCACCTGGGTGCAGTGGCGGGCTGCACGTGGCCACTGTGCTTCAGGGTCCCAGGTCTTCCCAGGCAGCCTCACCACAGCCCCCACTGCGCCGTTTCCAGAGCCGTCTCCACTCGAGCAACCCCCGTATCTGTCATTTCCAAGCCAGGTCTCTCCTTTGAGCTCCAGGCCTGTACATCCAACCCCTACAGACACTCTCCCTTGGATGCTGCAGGCACGCACACCTGACCACGTCTGAGACAGAGCTCACCTTCCCCCAAACCGGCCTGGCACAGACTTAACGTCATAAATGAACGGTACAACCATCCCTCACCACCACCACCCCCTCCAGTATTTAAGCCACCATCTCCATCATATGCTGTTGCCACAAGGGTGAGCGGGTCGGACAAAACTGCCACCCCGTCAGAGCCACTCCAGTGATTGCACACGTTCCAGCTGTGCAGTGTGACGGTGTGACGTGGAGCAGAGATCCAGGGCAGAACGAGGGACAGACAGGATGGGCCAGGAGGTTGTGGAAGGCTTCCCTGAGATGGTAACCTACAGCTGATCCCTGAAGGATGAGCAGGCCTTAACTAGATGAAGATGGGGCAGACACCCCAGCACAGTGGACGGGGAAGCAAGGCCCATGCTCACTGAACAGTCAGCTCCCCCACCGACACCCCTGCTGCATCCGCATCGGGACTTCCCCACCCCAGCCCGAGCTGCATCTCCTGCCTGGATTACAAGAAGCCCTCAGGTTTACCCCACACCCACTTACGGCCTCACTTCCTTCTCAGCCAAAATACTGGTCTCACACTGGGCAGTCTTCCCTTGCTTCCAGGGTAAAGTCCAGAGCCTGGAGAGACCCAGAGCCTCACCTTGTCTGGACTCCTCCACCTCTGCAGCCCCACGCACACTATGCCCCACTCTGGGCTCCCTTCAGGTACTCAAGCCTCAGCCTGCCCCAGGGCCTCTGCACATGCTGTGCACTCCAGCTGGACACGGCACCAGCCCCACCACCTGTGTGACTCCGCCAGCACTCAACTGGAAAGCCGCTTCCTCAGGGAGGTGCCCAGTGCCCTGCAGTGTGCACCAGCAGAGCCCTGTCAATCTGTGACCACGAATCTGGGTCAAACGTCTGTCTGTCCTCCACGAGAGCCGCCTCTGCGTCGCTCATCATCCACATGGGGCCCGGCAGAGCCTGTGACACAAATACTCGGGACCCCGCCACTCCACCCTGGGACCTCACCCAGGCCAGCCACCTCTGTGGCCTCGTGGTTCTGATAGGCAAAATGGAACCAGTACTTGCCACCCAAACTTGAGAGTGTGCTCAGGGGCAAACCCATTATTTAATGGGTAAAAAGCACTTGATAAAAGTACTATCCCCGGAGTTTAGAAATAAATTATGAGAGATTTTCAACAGAACAAAACAAATGTTCACAGTCCCAACTTTATTTTCATTTGATCACACGCGCTTGAAAAAAACACACGCGTGCAGAATAGCAAACACCGGGAATTAGGAGGGCGTTAAACAAGGGGTTCCCAGTGGAAGGAGTTTCACAGACTTCAGAACAAACAAAACCAACGCAAACATTTCTTTGTTCAAAACAGAAGGATATTTTGTTTTTAATGCGGTTTAAGGTTTTTTTTCTTTTGGGGGGGGTTTGTTTTAAGGAACACTTCAGGGACAAAAACTAAGCTGCTTTTGTTGCCTGAGGCAGGGCCAGGCTTCTCTCTTCCTTGAAGGCCTTTTGCACTTGCTGGCCTGGAGGCTGGCGGCCTACAGGGCATCCAGGATGTGGTCAATCTTGGCGACCAGCTCCTGCCGCTTTCCAGAGATAAGCTTCTCATTCTCGACATACGTGTCCTTCTTGAGCTTGCCGGCCACCAGCCGCTCGGCCTCCACCGCCGACTTCAGGACCAGCTCCTTGACCTGCGCATCCAGTTTCTGCATTTCGCTCACCTGGCCAAGGCAAGAGCGGGGCAGGCTCGAGAGTGGCCCCCTGCCCTCCGCCCAAAGCAGGCCACCACCTCACAGGCAGAGGGGCTGGCGGTGGAGGGAGACAGGCCGCCTCGCCCCAACCAACCCCGTCCTACAAGCCCTGGCCCTGGGAGCAGGTCCCCTCCCCATCCCCCGGCCCCCAGCCGGGAAGGAGGACATGAAGGCTGAGTGTGAAAACACGCGTGACCCCGGCTCGGGGCAGACACCAGTGAGCACCCGTTCCCTTCCCTTTATCAGCCAAACTAAAACGAGGTCCGGGGACTCGGCCAGGCAGAGGGCCAGTGGTGGGGGTGGATGGCTCCCCGGTCACCAATGGCTGTGTGTGAGGCCAAGGACTTCTGTGGCCACGTTCACTGAACACTCAACAAACATCCGGTGCCAGGGTGCCAGGCACGACCGCACCCCGGAGAACAGCGGTCAGGACGGGCCCGGCGCCATGCCTCAGGACTGACAGACAGTAAAAGCTTAGGCACGTGAGTAAACGGATTCAGGAAATGGCAGGTGCTCTGAAGAAACAGCATGGAGGCGGGAGGGAGCGCCGGGGGGGCACCGGCTCTAGGTGACACCACGACACTGACTCACTTCGCACGCACACCCGCTGTGAGCTCAGGAAGCACTACCTGCCCCGCTTAGAGACAGGGAAACCCCCCCACGCTAGAGACAACAAAACCCCCCATGTTAGAGACAGCAAGAGCTAGGAAACCTGCGAGGTTTACACGGTCTGAACCAGAGCCTGGACTCGGACCCATGATTCTGAGTCGTGGGCCAAGGCCGGAGCCTCCGGGAGCCTGCTAGTCCGGGCCCCTCAGTACCGGCCATGCAGACAGCGCGAAGAGGCGAGCAGCGCCCTCCCCCGGCCCAGCTCACGGCGAGACCCACGTCTTCTCGTCCACCACGAGGGCCGGCGGCTCTGACGGGGCACTCACCCCCCGACTGGCCACAAGCAGGAGCTGCCCAGAGTGGGCGGGCAGGGCACCGCAGGCCACTCCAACAGTCAGCACACTCCCCACCGGGGGCCTGGCAGCAGGCCGGCGAGCCAGCAGTGGCACTTACTTTGTCGCACAGGTCCGAGCCCTCCGTCTTCAGCCGGGCCTGCAGCAGCGCGACCTCGCTGCTCAGGGCCTTGTGCTCGGCCTCCAGGCTCTTCCTGCCGCCGTTGAGGGTGGACGCATCCCGGGACTGTTTGTACCTGTTGACAGTCTCGTCGAAGTGACGGTAGAGCCCAATTCTCTTGTTGACCAGGGTCAACACCTGCTCGGTGATGCAGGCCACCTTCATCCTGGCCTCTGCCGCCGGGTCCTGGGGGAGAGACATGGTGTGTGACCTTCACCCCCCAGAGCACCCCCAGTGGCTGGGCAAACCAGAAGAGCCATCATCTTGGAGAGTCAGAGGATCAGCCCCTTGCAGACACTGACCCTGGGCCAGGTCAGCAGCGGGCAGGACTGGGGGCAGGGGGGCGGAGAAGACGCGCGCATGTGCCAGGGTGCTGACGCCAGGCGAGGGGCAGCGAGGCGCTGGTGGGAGAAGTCCCAGCGCGGGCCGGGGAGGCTTCCAGGACGTTTACTACGTCTCCCTCCTCCTTAAACCCTTCCCGTTTCCAGGGCCTGAAGGATGCCTCCCAAGCGCCTCATCCCACCAGCCTCAGCCCTCAGACGGGGCCCTGCGTGGTCTCCAGAGCGCCTCACAGGGACCACCGCAGGGGCCCCAGCCTGCCAGCTCCGAGGCTGAGTCTGGTCTGCAGACAGTGTTTGGCCCACAATTTGGTTTCATCTCAATAAATTACCAAAGCTTTAAAACAGAGAGATGTATATGCAGGAACTAACTGAACGAACTATGACCCATCCATACAACGGAGTCCTCTGCAGCTATTAAAACAAGCAATAAAAATAGTAAGGAAAAAAGCGCTCTACGAACTGACACGGGTGAGTTTCAGGATGTATCTGTTAAGTGAAAAAAACAAAGTAAAAACTATACATACTGCTGCTACCTTTTGTGTACATAAGAACAGAAAACAAGAGTCAAAGTATGTATGTTTGCAAAATAAACGAGTCAGGAAGGCCGTGTAGGGACTGAGGGGGCTGCTCGGCTGCATGGCCGGTGGGGAGGGCGGAGACCGCATCATTGAAGTTCTCAGTTTAGAGCTTTGTTGACGTTGACAGTTTCACAACCACCACAAACCTAACAATGGTGGCCGAGGGGAGCAGAGTGACACCTGAGCATAAGTAAAGCACATTTCAGGTAAGTGGCGCCCTGGGCACCCTGGGACACGGCCTCAGTCTAAAGACAAAACCACCACAGACAAGCCTGGGGCTCTACTGGGGAGGCCTGGTGTCCCAGTGGGTCCAGTGCAGCCACTGTGAGACCGTTTTGTTCGCAGACTTCAGCAAACAACCACCCTGAGGATGGGATCCAGGCGAAGCAGCCGGTGGCATCAGCCTGCAGCAAAAGGCGCCGGTGCCGAGTCATCTTCTAAAGCCCACGTGCAGTGATGGCTACGTCCCAGCTCCGGCTGCTGAAGACCTGGCAGCGGAGACCCTCTGCAAGCAGGGCTGGCCCCGGCTCACACACCGCGGCCTCTGGGGGCCGTTCTGCACTGAAAGGAACAGGACTCCAGGACAAGCTGTGCCTGCAGCGTGTTGTGCCCAACAGTAAAGAACGGCTCGAAAACATGCTGTGATGTGAAAAAGACAGCCGAACCAGGACAGCCGGAGCGTCAGAATAACCGACAGTGGACGGTAACCCGTGGAATAAAGCAGGACGTGAACCCACACACATAACCAACCAACCGACAAGAAGAGCTTTTCCTCACAGTAGACAGACGGCTAACAAGGTAAGAAGAACGTTCTTCCACCACCCCAACAAGTAACAGACCAGGTAAGAACTAATAATAAATACTGTAACTAACAGATGAACTTGTGTGATGTCTGTATGGCCTCACAGATTAATTAGTAACTAGTGAGAAAACCAGTAGCTTCACAGTGGAGAAACCAGGGGGCACCCGCTGAGCCCAGCGAGGAGTTAAGACCCCAGCCCTGGGGCCAGCGGGCGTCAGGCACCCCCTGGGTGGTGCACTGCAGACACAGCATCACTTCATAATGTTCTCCCCAGAGATGCATAATCTGAACTTCATGGAGAAACACAAGAAACATAAATTAAGGGACATTCTACAAACCACACTTCAAACATGTCAAGGTGATTGCAGACGAAGGCTGAGGAATGTTCCAGACTAAAGGAAATGTGACAACTAAATGCAATTTCTGACGACGAACTGGATTCTGAAGTGTGCAAAACCACAGCTGTGAAAGCTGCCACCGGGCAGCGCGCACGACTGGAACCTGGTCGGCACGCTGGTGACTGATCACTGCAACATCACGTTTCCCGAATCGGATCAACGCACTGAGATTACGTGAGACAAAACCCTTGTTCTCAGGCTGCACGCATGCACGAGTGTTCAGGTACGGTCGGCAGCTTCCTCTCAAGGGGCTGCACAGACAGAGGGGCTGAATGCTAACTGCTTCATCTTGGTGAAGAGCACACAGGAGTTACTTTTACTATTCTTGCAAAATTTCTGTAAATGTGGAATTTTTTAAAACATACCTTTTTAAAAAAAATTAAACAAATGCAATTTTTATAGCTCAGAAAATGGGGCTATTTCATAATAAACCTAGACTCTCTGCCTTCCCATGACACAGCTGGCCGGCAGCTGCCCCACTGCACCCCAGCCCTGGGGCAGCCTCACTGGTCTAGGGAACCAGCTGAGTCAGCGTCTTTGCTCACAGCCCCCCCCCCCCGCCACTGCTACCCACAGGTCCCACAAAGCCTCCAGCCAAATGCCTTCCCGACCTTTCTGCCTGCCACTTGCTCGGGCAGCCCTTGTGGCCTCCCGGCCTCCCCATCAGGAGTGCAGTCTGCCCGCTGCTGCCCCCTCCAGCACCGCCTCACTTAACATCGCGCACCCCGTGACCACAGCAACACAAACGGGCCCTCTCTCTGCAGTAAGGCTTAGGCCACGGGCAGGGTGCCTCCCAGCCAACAGCGCATGCTATGCGGACCGGTGTCGGGAAAGCGAGTCAGGCATGCATCAAAGAGGCCAAGCAGGTACCTTGGTGATGGAGAAGTCCAGCCGGACGTAGACAATGACGGTGAAGAACAGGATGTAGAAGGCGGCCACCACCAGCAGGGGCTCCTGCAGCATGAGCACCTTGTTGAAGGTGTAGTGCACCTGCGGACAGCCAGAGAGAAGACATGCTGAGACGGTCAGCCTGGACTCAGAAGCCTGGGGTCAAGGGGCCTCCCCGGGCCTGCAATTGTCCAGGCTGCCCCCTGGCCCGCCCCAGGCAGCTGTGCTCAAACCACTCAGCCCAAGCAGGGAAAGATGGGCAGTCCAGGCCCCACAGCGGCCCCCTGGGGAGGACACACGGCTGCGGAGCGCGCACCACGATGTCCTGGATGTGCTGCTCCACCAGGTTTTTCTTGTGGGCGACGATCACAGGGCGGCCAAACGTGTCCAGGTAAGTGTAGTGCAGCTCGTCAGGGGCACGGCTGATCGCATACGGACTGTCCACCTGGATGTTCCTGCAGGAGGGGGGAGGGGGAGACAGAACCTCAGACAAACTGCGCCGACCACCTAGGTTCAAGGTGAGGGTCCCAAGGCCCAGGGCCTTCCAGGTCCACTCCATTCTGCTCCCTCTGCGGCTCAGGGAACACCTGACCCCGAGACAGCTGGCCCACCACCAGAGACCCTGACCAGGAAGCCACTCCCCCGCTGAGCCAACGACGTCTCCCAGCACCAGCCCTGCAGGGTCTCAGGCCACACGCCCCATCCCCCGAGTGCATCCAACTCAACAAGGGGCAGTCGGGGGCCAGGTGAGGCCCCTCAGCAGTTACTTCAAAATCTCTGTCTCCTTACAAGACTGACAACTTCTTTTAGGGTGTCTGGGGGACACATGTCCTGCTTCGTCTGCCCTGACCCATTCCCCCTCCTCCTGGCAAACAGCACGCTCCAGTTTTCTTGAAGGAAGTAACACCCCCGTGGAATGTTCCTGAGGAGGAACAGTCAAGTCCCTCCTGGTGCTCAGAGCACACACGTGACCCAAGGGGGCCAGGCGCTTGCCTCCAAAGTGACAGTCTCCACCAGCCAGGCTACCAGAGACGCCCTGGCTGCGTCCTTTACCCCGCCCACCTGCTTCTTCAGCTTATGCCATCATTTCATGAGATCCCTTACCTTCCAAATTCCCTCCTTTCTGCTCAGTGTGGCCAGAGACAGCTGCCTGTGTTTGCAAGTACAGAACCCTGACACACCACGTGAGACCCCGTTCTGAACCAGGGCTGAGGGGCCCAGGACGAGACGCTAACCTCCCCTTTCTACAAGCCCAGCACGAAGGCCGCCAGCCATCTCGACCCTGCATTCTTTCCTGCTGCAGGTCACCCCATCAGACTCAGGCCATCACCCTGGCCTGCCATGCACGGGTCACACAGAGCCACTGTGCTGGGGACAGTCCATAAACAAACTGTGCCCTCACTTGAGTCGAGCTTTTCAGCTTGAACCCAGTCAGAAGCCTCAGGGTTCTCAGTCAGCACCGTGTGCTAAGCAGCCCGCTGTGCCCGCTGGAGGTACCCACAGGGCACTCTGGGTGGGCGAGGCGGACAGTAAGGGAGGCCGCACTCACTTGGCCCCTTCGGGCAAGATGATCTTCACAGTCAGAGAGTCTATGACTTGCTCGTCAAACACGTGGTCCACAAGCCTCATCTTCAGTGCGTACTGGTCTCCTGGAGGGTCAAGCAGACACACGGTGTCATGGAAACAGAAAGAAGGGGCAGGAGCAGGGCGTGTCCCCTGACACAGACAACAGGAGAGATGCCACCTGAAGTCAGCAGGCAGGGAGACTCTGGCAGGCAGAGGTGGTGGGCAGCACGGTCGGAGGCCTTCCCCAACTTCCACAAAGAGCTCGAGCAACTACCTAGCAAAACTAAAACCCACGGACCACACTTAAAACAAGACTCAGTAAGAAGACCGCAGCAGGGACCACAGTGCTCCGGGCAGCCGTCCGTTCACACGACGCCACAGCAGCAGAGCGGGCAGTCAAGGCACCTCCTCCTGCAAGTTCATGCTGACAGGAAGCAGCAGCAAAGCCTCCGCCACCTCTCGCTCAGAGGGAGTCACATAAAAAAGTCACAATCAGAGAACATCCTGGAGAGGGGAAGCCTGCGGGAAAGACGCCACAAAGCCGGTCACAGCCGCCCGGTGATGTCCAGACAGCTGACGGCTGCGCACAAGGGACACGAAAGGCACGGAAGAGCAGCAGAACCCAAGTTAGAGGTCAGAAAAGTGACAGAACTCAGGAAAAAGGAAAAAGGAAAGAAAAAATCACTTTAGAAATGAAGGCCCACTAGAAGGAATCCGGCTGAACAAGCACAACGGCGAGGCCTCACGGTGAGCAGGAGGCGGAGAGGGGAGGGGCTGTGTCCGGCCCTGCGTGGCACCGGGGACACCAGACACCGCTGCTCGCCTGTGGTAAAAACCACGGCAGCTGAGTCTCACTGAAGGGGTCCAACCCGAGTCTGATCAGGCTCCAGAGCACCTGTCAACTTGCTAGAAAAACAGGAGACAGGACTACCCAGAACCACACAGAGTGAGCAACCCAGGCCACGGGCTGCACTACACCCAGGGCCAAGTCCTGCAACAGACAAACTGCCAGGGAATCAGATGGAGGAGGAAACCACGGATTAATAGGGACTGACAAAAAACACAGAGCTAGAGTATCTAGAGGCACACACTTGGGTGATAAAGTGATGCAGAAATTCAAGAGTGGCTCCCAGAAGTCAGGGAGATGTGCATGGGAGATGACTGCTCTGGGGAAGAGGGGGACGTGGAGGGCCTTCTGGCAAACTCCCATTTCTTGACCTGAGTTATGAGGTGTTCTTCTTACAGTAATTTACTGAGCTATGTGTTTGTTTTGTGTGATTGTCTATATTTTATTTTGGATTCAACAGGTTTTAAAAAGACTTGAAAATAAGACAAAATGTTTACAATCATCAGTTCTGGGTGCTTGTGTACAAGTGTTTGTTCTCTGAATCTTACTTTTTAAATACTTCACATCTAAAGACTCCAAGTAGCTCCGTCTTACGGCAGAACTGGGGGCAAGAAGAGCCCTCCTGTCCCACCTGAAGGGACCGGCGTGCATACGTGTCGCTTCCCAACAGCCACCTGTGCCACGGGGGGCTGGGCTGCTCCTGGCGTCCCAGCCTTCCTCAGAGTGACAAGGGAACGCTCCCCCCACCTAAAGAGACCAGCAGTTATCACACTCTCTCACACACACACTCACACTCACACAAACACACGCACGCACACAAGAAACAACAACAGAACAAACCCACAGGAAACTAAAGAAAAAGACAGATGTTCCCCTTTCTCCCCTCTAACTGCTGAGCACTGACCCAAGTTATAGAGGTACTCGTAGCTCGGGAGGTTGTAGCCAACGATGTAGTGGGTCTTCCACCCCCCAAAAAGAGGGAAGCGAGGCCGGATCTCCATCTCCACGGAGTCGTCCAAGATAAGGAGGTGGCTGGTGGAGACGTTGCCAATCTCATCCCGGTAATACACATCCTGGGCAGCAGCAGGGAGGATGGTCTGCAAGAACAAACGGACCTTCTCAAGACTCCGGAAACCCACTCAGAGGAAACGATCCCAAACACAGGAGAGACTCTGTGCCCCAAGAGCCTCGTCACAGCGCTGCTGAACTCAAACAGTCCCCAAACCTGACACAAGCTGGGGGGTCTAACCTCCCTCCCAGAGGCTTCGAAGTGTCTAGGTATCGCATCTCCTCCCCAGTCAAGGATGGTAAGTTGTCAAATCCCTCTAAACAGTACACAGCAGACTTAACTACCTTCGCAAATGCTGAAGACTCAGTACAAAGGCAGAAATAATCTGTAAGTTATTTTGGAGGAAGGGGAACTGAAGATGGAAGAAATCACATCAAATCACTAAGTGGTAGAATTATGAGAGGGTTTCTCCATCTAACATATTTTACTGTGTCTTCTAAATCTGTAAGCATATTTTGATAATCATGGGAAAAAATGTAACGTTTGCACAGTGAGCCCTTCTGTAATATACATGAAGATGCTTGTAAGTTTTCATTTAAAAGACAAAAAAGAAAACTGTATATGCAATAGGATCAAATGTGTTTTCACAACAGCATTATAAAAGAAAAAGGAGCTACAACATCAATCATAGTGCAATATAGTAACATATCAAAGTAGCACATTGTACATCTTAAATTTACACAATACTGTATGTAAAATGTATTCAATAATAATTTTTTAAAAACTCATCACAAGAAAAAATGTATGATGATGGGGGTTTAGTGGACTTGATGCAGCAATCATTTAGAAACATACAAATAGTGAATCATATTGTTTTACACTTGAAACTAATATGTCAATTATACATCAATACAATTTTAAAAAGGAAAAGGAAAAGGAAATACAAGAATGTCAGCAATACTGGTATCTGGGTTTGCTTTTCCTTTCTTCATTATTCAAAATTTCTCTGAAGACCACAGCCTACTTACATAAATGGGGGCACCTTCTTCAGGATTCTTCCTGTTAGTTCTAACACTGTCACTCAGCTACCTGAACACCAATCAACCCCAAACTGTCCGTATTTAGCTACTTTCAAAAAGCTAAAGCAAGCACAGACATGGCAGCCTCTCCTACGTGCAGGGCGAACGCATCATACCTTGAAAGAGCGGATGGAGGAGATCCCGCTGTCCGGCTGCCTCTGGTAATCATAGCGCGAAAAAGGCCCCTTCAGCACAGCCCCTGTGTGCTTCAAGTCCACGTTTTCCTCCACGGCAATATTGCCCCAGTGGGAGACCTCGATGACTCGGGTCATGCTGGTGATGGTCAGGAAAGGACTATTGTTCTCAGAATGTACTTTAAAAGTATCCTGGAGAGGAAGGAACAGGCACTTCAAAGTGACTAGGAATCAACACTGTGTCAGGCACTCCTCTGTGAGCTCTAAGTAAGTAATTTAAGCACATTTTCTCATTTAGTCCTCAAAACATCACAATGAAGTAAGTGCCACTTACCCCTATTTTACAAATAAAAACCCAGAGGCCCAGCAGTTTTCATTACTATGTTCAAGGCCATGAACTTAACACTAGGAATTCAGGTCTTCGACTGTGTAGACGGTCTGGCTTCACACTTGGACGTAGTAAGTACTGCCTTGCGAGGAGGCCCAAGACAGGTAGAGGAGACATCTTTGACAATTCCTTCCCTTCTCTGCCAATGTCACCACTGAGGTTAGTATTAAGAAGTCTTCCTCACCACTAAGTAATTCAAGTGCCTTTCTATGAATATGCACCCAGAACCCTACAGAAATGAAATCTAAAAGGACGAAATACAAAATACTGCTTGATCTCTCATACATGTGGAATCAAAAACAAAACAAAACAGAAACAGCCATTAAAAACAGTTCACAAAGTGGGGGAGGGTAGAGCTCAGGGTAGAGTGCCTGCTTAGCGCACACGAGGTCCTGGGTTCAATCCCCTGCACCTCCATTTAAATAAATAAATAGACTAATTACCTCTCCCCTAAGAAAAAAAGTTTACAAAGGAAAAGTAAAATGCTTAAAGACCACCCTAAGCACTGCAAGTATTATATGATCTCCACGTTGAACCCCTATGCTTCAAAAGAAATGACTCAGGTACTGAAGTGTCAAGAGCGGATGTGAACTCATGTCAGGCTTTCCTCAGTGTCTGCCAAAGTGTCTCTCATAAGCCTTTTATTAATTTAAAATGAAGGAGGGAAGTCCAAAATCTAAACTGTTAAAGTCTTAAAAGCCCACGTAGAGATAATCAAATCTCTGCCCCAACACGAGCTCAGTCTAAAGCAAAGGAATACACACAGCGCGCCACACATTCGGAGACAGAGGAGCGTGAGCACGCTTACTACAGACCCGCACGCGTCTCCAGGAGGAAACGTTTCAGCATAAACCAAAACCTTATGTAAATGGTCGCCGAGGAGGGCAGCTGGGAGGGAGAAGTGAAAGGAGTCTCTGAATCTCCTGGTTACATAATTTTGACTATAGAATCATGTTTTCATATTAAATCAACTTTTAAAATTCTTGAAAGTTGAAAATAACCAAGATGAACAGACCTATCTATACGTCAAACTGACATTCAAGGGACAGAGGAAACGGAGAAACAATTATGTTAGAATAAATTATGAAATTATTTTGACTGTACACATCCTTAATGACACATGTTCCAAGTACACAGAGATGCAGAGAAGCTTTAAATATCCATTTTTCAGAGATGATACTGAAGCGTGTAAGATGAAATGACATGGTTCCCGAGTTTGCTTTAAAATTTCACAGCAAAGGAGAGAGAAGGGACAACTGAAGCGCGGGGTGGGGGGGCAACCCCGTCACCACGTGCTCAGCAACGGGCACGTGAGATCACAATTCTCTACTTCAGCACGTTCGACAATTTCCATCATAATAACACCTTTTTTAAGCCTCACCTCCTCCCGTACCTGGAGAGCCCAGCCCTGGCTCAGCAGCGCAGCCATCCCGGCCACAGCCGACAGCACAGCCCGCCTCCCGCCTCCAGGCCTCTGCCCCTCTCAGCACTCTGCCCAGGGGCCTTGTTCCTTCTCCCCCATTGCCCATGCCAACTCCCCAAATGCCACCTCCTTGAAAGAGTTCCCCGCCTCTATCTGTGCTCCCAGAATGAGGACCGTGAGCCCTATGGAGTCACTCCGCAGCCGGTTACAAAGGACTCTGGGCTTCCACCCGAGCCTCCCAACGAGCGGTCCCTCTGGGGAGCAGTCTGAGGCAGACGGGGGGGCTGGACCCCACACCAGCCTACCTGGCTATAGGCAGGGACGTCACGGAAGGGCCCGTAATCCAGGAGGTCCTCGGAGCGCGTGGGGCTCCCCAGCCTGGTGTAGCTCTCCACGTTTCGGGAGGCGAGCTTCACGCGCATTGTCTGCGTCTTCGTGGGGTACGGAGAATAGAAGTAATGGTTCCCCTCAAACACCACAAACTGCTTCTCCGACTGGGTGATCTGAGTTGGGTACGGCTGAAGCACGTGGGTATAAACCGCTTCCACAACGACGGAAATCTTGGCCCCGGGATCAAGAGCAGCGGGGAGCTTGACTGTGAAGAATCTCCCGCTGGAGGAAGGAGCAGGAGAGAGAATTAGACAGACTGGGAAACTGAAGAGAGAGCAGGAGCCCCAAGCCACAGCAGAGCCTGTGCCAAGACAAAAGCAGACACCACCTTCAATCTCTCCACTTACGCCTTTCAACACAAGCGAACGGACACCCACCTCAAGGCTGTCTGACAGGACAAGAGTGTAAACGGCCCGAACGCCCAACAGCAGGGTAACGGCTGAAGCCTCCCAGGACAGCGACACGCTGGAGTGTCGGCTGCCACTGAGACCGGTGCTTGGGGACGCGTGTGTAGGTACACGCACACACGCAATTGTATGTAAACGACAGACTTCCACACACAGTGTGAGTAACAGAAATCGGCTTACAGCTGGCACAGTATGATTCCATTTCAAAGTAAGTACACATACAACTATACGTGGAGAAAAGTGTTTCCATGAACGTTCCGCAACAGAAAAATCAAGGTAATCACAACACACCACAGTCTGGCGCCTCAGAGGATAATGTTTTTGTGCATCAAATCAGTGCAACTCATGGAGGACGAAGCATAACAAAGACAACCGTGAAGACCACACAGGAAATGGAAAACGTTGTGCTGTACGTGGAAAAAAAGGTTAAAAAGTAGGATCATACAGCAATTGAAAGTACAGAAAACACATCTGCAAGCAGACGTGACCCAGAAGGCAAGCGTGGAGGCCGACACGACATGGGCTGCGGGATAAGTGACATTTTCGTTTAAAGTTGCTGTTAAGCTTTATACAGCCAGACAGACTAATAAACTTAAACACGATCCCATTTATAACCTCGTGTGAAAGTCTGTACAGACAGGCACAGTGCAAGTAACAGAGCTGTGGTTACGGCACATTCTGATTTTTTAAATTCAAAACTAATAAGAAAAGTTTTAAAAATTCTGCCAAACCCAATTTAACAATTTTTTGAGTCATACAGGGAATGAGAGTAAAGTACAATGGTCTGCTGGTCAGCAACCAAATTTTTTATTTCTTCCTGTGATAAACGACAACATTTTGGGGTGGAAAACACTTGGTTGGAGAGGGAACCTATCCTGGGTACTGTACGGTGCTTGACAGCATCCCTGAACGCCACACACCACACGCCAGCAGCACCTGCCCGGCTGTAGCAACTGGAAAGGTCTCAAAACAGTGCCAGATGTCCCGGGGCGGGGGGACTGCTCTCCCTTCCAGTAAGAATCACTGAGCCAAAAGCACCTCTTCTCCCCGCACCATCCACTCAACACGTATTTCAGTGCCTAACGCACACCACGCACAACACGGACGACAGCTGAAGCTGGGTGATGGGATACACAGGAGTTCTCCTCACAATTCTTCCTGCTTCTTACATGTGTTTGAAAACATCCTTAATAAAGTGTTTTAAAATAAGTAACAAGTGCTCAGTGTGAGTTACCAAGGTTACAGCAGAGAACAAGGCAAGTTCAAACCCAGCTTCCACATGCACAGAGCTCAGCCTACCTCCTGAGAAGAACTGCCACTTCTCACAGCCCTGAGCGCTGGAGGGAGGTGCAGTCAGGCGTCTGCGCCCTGGAAGCCGGGCGGCAGCCAACCACAGTTGGGAGGAGGTCTGTTGAGGCACGTGGCCCACAGCTCCCACGTGCCGGGTCCCCACCTACCAGCTGGGGCGTCCCCACCCTCTCACAGACCAGAGCCCTAATCCGGGAGGAAGAAACTACTTCCACGTGGTCAAACACACTGCCACTCTCAGGGAATCCGATTCCAGCAGGAGTAATGTGGGAGGACATCGTAAGTGGGTCCAGGCCACGGGGCCACACACAGGATCGACCGAAACAGCTTCTAACACACCAGGCACCTTCGAGGCACCACCGCTCCTCGTGACCTTTCCAGCCCTGATGTGCTGACCTGCAACCACAGCAGGCAAGACAGAGATGTTCTGACGTTAGCTTACCTTTTACCCTTAATTTTGGTTTCTTGTACTTCCAGATTGTTCTCTTCCTCATCCTCTCCCTTCACCTGTAACAGAACAAAGGAGATTACTCTTTTTTGCTTTTAGCCTCTAAATTTTGAGTCAACAATTGACTAACTGCCTCAAAATGTCCACATTAAAGAATTCAAACTACCAGAACTTGTAAAGATTAAATTCTGGTTTCAGTAACAATTTTCTTTTTCAGCTGAAATACAAGAACCTTGTCAAAAGACCTACTTTCACATTGAATAAGCTGTATAATACGCTCTGTAAAAATCGTAACATTTTCCTGAATGAGCAAATACACACATACAAATAACGATGACACTTCCAAATACACTTTGTGCTTCCAAATAGAAAGGTCAGAAAGGTTTCTCTCTGGACATTTTCCTTTTCTTTTACGTTCAAATATGCATATGCACAGAAAACAAATGTATTTATTGTTGTAGGAGAAAAGTCTCAGGCATCACCAAAACCCATTTTACCGACACAAAAGAAGGTAAAGTGGCAAAAGCAGTGGCCGCCGCCGGGCCCGTCCCTTACTCTCATCCTTGACTGCAACCAGAGGTGCGACCAGGAAAAGGGTGTGTGCTCCAGTAGGCTGCACGGTCTTTGAGAAAGAGGCATCTTCAAGGAGACTGTCCATCAGATTACAAGGAAAAAACTTACACACACACGCTGATCTCTTTGCCAACCCAACCTCCACCAAAAGAAAAAGAATTTTAAGACTCCCTTTTAGGACTGAAGCAGTGATTCCCAATAGGATATACAAAGCTTTAATCAGGAAGCTATTTGTAATAGTTCAAAAATCCAAAAAGTAATCACATAACCATCGCCAAGGAAGCTGTACAGGCTAACGCGAACACCAAATTTCATGACTGTGACTAGAACCTTGCCACAGCGGGAACGTTCTGGTACAGTGGTGCTGATGAGGATCTCCCACTGTTCAGCTCACTTCTAAATACTTACTAGACTCACTATCTAACCTAGTAAAAGATTAGAGAGACGAAATACTGCAAATATAGGATCCAAGTGAGAGGGAGAGTAAGCTGAGTCTTCAATAGGAGGAAGGCGAGGAACCACTGGCTCTTAGTCAATAGTCACCATGGACCCCACTCTCAGCCCCTAAAATTCTACACGTACGGTTGGAAATAATTCACTGAGAAAATTTCTAGCAACCTCACCAAAGCCTCCAAGTCAAGTGTTGGAAAATACACACTCCCTTAGTTAAGTTTATCATCCAGTTTCCTCTGGGATAAGGGTGCAAAGGAGCAAACACTTTCCTTGAAGTCATCTCTCTCGGACTACAAATTAATGACTTGAGTAAATCCGGTTGCTGGACTACACAGCCCTACCTCAGAGCCATCCAGGCGGGAACAGGCTGCACGGTTCAGGGAAGAACACACACACCAGGTCTGAAGCACACTAACCTAAGCCCTGACTGTTCAGGACTTCGTGTCCTGGGTTTAAGCAACCTAACCTCCCAGACTACAGACCCCTCACCTGCACGAACTGTGCACCTCAAAGGGCTGTTGTGCACTTAAAGAACCTACCACAATACCTGAAAGTCAATTCGCAGTAAGACACGGTAAGAGAGCCCAGCCTGCAAGCCTGCAAGCCTGCAAGCAGTCTCCCGCAGGCCTGGAGACAGTGCCTGCTGCCGCCTAGTCAGTCGGAGGCAACCTCACTGCACGGGAACTAGCTCTTACAAAAGAATGCGGTTCAACATTCAGAACGTTCAGGTGAAGTTTTAATCCACCTTCCCACCAAACCTTTAAGTAACACTGCGTGTCTCATCACGGACAGGAGGCATTTCCGAGCATGATCCCTGTAAACGCAACTTCATAGCTCGGGACTCCCTCAGACAGCAAGGCGTGCTCAGAAGGAACAGGGCACTGCCATGACTGTTCCCCAGCAAACAACCGGGTGACCGTCACCTAGTGGGCTGCGTAAGGAAAACAGCAGGAGAAGGCCTCCCTCTGCGCACGCACACTCCCGCTGGCCCCCAAGCCAACGCTGCTCTCGCGGGAGGCCGCGCTGCCCCGGCCAGGGGACGCCGGCGGCTCCGCAGGCGAAC